TCCAATTCCACAATGATCCAACAATTCCAGTGTGTCCAGGTGATATGAATATTCCCAAAGTCTAGAGTTGTAAAACCACCTAATGTTACCTAATTAAAAAGCGAAGCATCTACCTATAATCATACTAGTGGTACCATGAGTAGAGTGTCCACTAGTTGGGGTTTTGTTTAATCTAGGGTGAACAAGGAAATAATAACAATAGCAATAATAATAAGGTCATAACAAAGGTAAATAGGCATGGCTAAATAAAACAGTGATAACGCGGGAATTTAAATAAAGCGATAGTGCAATAATTTAAATCAACATAATTTTACAAACTGGGATTCAATATGTTCAAAGATGATGTGACTTGCCTTGCTCGCTTTCCCAAACGTCGGCTTCAACTTCCACGAAGAGCGGATCTTCCGAAGCTGCAGCGTCTACACGACCAACGGAAAATAAAAAGGCTTTTACTCTAATAAACTCCATATAACAAGCAGAAACAAAGCACAAAAATGGGTTCTTGACTTCTTAAGGAAAAATTAGAGACTTGAACGGTCCAATTCCGAGTTCAAATGGCCAAGTTATGGCCATTTGAAGTTTATATGCTCTTTAATTGAATATTTGCGAATTTCTTCATTTAAATTTTAATTTAAAATCGGATTTATTGCGTCAGCCGAGGGGAGGGGCGCGCGGACCGGGTCCACGGGAGTGGGGCCCACGCGGCAGCCTCACGGTCCACGGTGGACCGGGTGCACGCGGCTTACGCCGGCCGGCGCCGTGGGTCCCACGCGTCAGCCGCACCCGAGGGCGCGGGCGGCTGACGGCCGGGCCCCACATGGCAGCCGCGCCGTCAGCCGCGGGGCGCGCCCGAAGGCGGCCTCGCTGGCACGGCCGACGGGGAGGCGGCGCGCCCGCACCCCGATGGTCGCCGGCGGCGGCCACCGGCGCGGCGGAGCGGCGCCCGAGAGAGGGGAGGGAAGGGGGAAACGAAATGGGCGGTCCATGGCTCACCCCGAGTCGACGACGACGACGGGAACGGCGACCGAAGCGGAGAGAGGCGGCGGCGCGGCTCGGGTCGACGAGGACGGCGGCGTTCCGGCGGTCGGCGGGCGAAACGGAGGAGTGGACGAGGTCGACGAGGACGCGGCGAAGCCGAAGGAGGCAACGCCGAAGCGGGAGGAGGTCCGAGGCGACGACGGCGGCGGACCGGAGCTCGGCGGCGACGGCGGAGAGAGGGAACGACGGCGCGAGCTCGATTCCGACGGGGAGAGAGAGCGGCGAGTGGCGGAAACGGAGGAGGGAGGCACGGGGAACGTTTAAATAGTGTTGGGAGTGAGAGAGGGCGGCCGGATGAGGGGGAATCGGCCGCGGAAGATCCGGCCGCCATTGATGTGCCGGCGAAGTTCGCGGGGGAGTTTCCAAACGAATCCGAGAGAGAGAGAGAGGGAAAAGTGGGGGGAAAGAGGGAGGGAATCACGGGGAGTGATTTCCCCCTCTTTATTGCGCGCGGGGACGGCGGGATGCGGCGGAATCCGCGGCGGCGGCGGCGCTAGGGCACGGGCGAGGCGGCGGGTGCGGCGCGAGGTAGGGGATGACGGGTGGGCCCCACCCGTCAGCGAGGGTGGCGGGCGGGCCCGCCCGTCAGCGGCGCGCGCGCGGGGAGGAGGCCGATGGGCCGCGGGGGAGAGGAGAGAGAGGGAGAGGGCTGGGCCGAGCCGGCCCAAGAGGGGAAGGGGGGGAAAAAGACTTTTAGGGTTTTTCTTTTTATAAAACCACTTTAACTTTGTTTATTTCTTCTTAATTATTATTTGTGCTCTGAAAATTCCACTAAAATTTATTTACGCATTTTAGGCTTTTAGGAAATATACAAAAATCCTCCAAGCCTTATTTGACTTTTAAATTTGCACATTTTAATTGTTGGAGGCTTTCACATGGATTTTAATTATTCTATGCACAATTTCGAGGGTGTATTTTAGAGTCGTTTTGGGACGCGACATTGTATAGCCCCCGACTCTTTGATTAGTTGGGAAACAACTGAACATAGAGTCGAGAACTGTAGCTTCTTGTCGTCGAATAGTTATTGCTTGATTGAAGATATGTGTTGAAGATGTCCAAGTAGAAATCATGAATGTTGGAGAGCCACTTGTTGTAGTAAAATAACACGGCATCGCATGCCGAGATGTCGAGATTCACAAAGACGTTATGGTTGGTGAAGTAGCAAAACTTGTGAAGTAGCAGCAATAGAGTTTGCTGGTACCGAAGATAATAAAGATGAAGTCGCTCCACCATGATGACAAAGTTGCGTTGCCGTGATGAAGTGAACACGAGTCGGCGGCAACAGAAGCAAACCGGTAGTGAAGACGCGCAGTTGTGAAGATAAAAGCACCAGTCGGCGGCGGCATAACCAGTCGGCGACGGAAGACGATGATTTCCATCAGTAGTGGTAGCTGTATAAACAAGACGTAGAGGCGAGGGCACTAGTCAGCAGTAGACGAGACGACCGGTGATGAAGAAGATAAAGCCAATCAACACTGGCGGAATTATGCAGCCATGGAAGTGAATAAACTAGTCGGCAGCAGATGTAGACAGCTTGCGTTGAAGATGATAACGCCTATTAGCGGTGACGGCGACGTGGCCAGCCGTGAAGAAGATAGCATCAGTTGGCGTCATAACAGGCCAGTCGTGCAGGCGGTGACACCAGTCGGCGGCGGATGCGGCGGCCGGTCGGTGAAGACGTAGACGCCCAACAACGGCGGCATAATAAGCCAGCCGTGCAGGCGGAAACACCAGTCGGCGGCGGACGAGGCGGCCGGTCGGTGAAGACATAGACGCCCAACAACGGCGGTCATAATAGGCCAGCCGTGCAGGCGGAAACACCAGTCGGCGGCGGACGAGGCGGCCGGTCGGTGAAGACGTAGACGCCCAACAACGGCGGCATAATAGGCCAGCCGTGCAGGCGGAAACACCAGTCGGCGGCGGACGAGGCGGCGGCCGGTCGGTGAAGACGTAGACGCCCAACAGCGGCAGTCATAATAGGCCAGCCGTGCAGGCGGAAACACCAGTCGGCGGCGGACGAGGCGGCCGGTCGGTGAAGACGTAGACGCCCAACAACGGCGGTCATAATAGGCCAGCCGTGCAGGCGGAAACACCAGTCGGCGGCGGACGAGGCGGCCGGTCGGTGAAGACGTAGACGCCCAACAACGGCGGCATAATAGGCCACCCGTGCAGGCTGAAACACCAGTCGGCGGCGGACGAGGCGGCCGGTCGGTGAAGACGTAGACGCCCAACAACGGCGGTCATAATAGGCCAGCCGTGCAGGCGGAAACACCAGTCGGCGGCGGACGAGGCGGCCGGTCGGTGAAGACGTAGACGCCCAACAACAGCGGTCATAATAGGCCAGCCGTACAGGCGGAAACACCAGTCGCCGGCGGACGAGGCGGCCGGTCGGTGAAGACGTAGACGCCCAATAACAGCGGTCATAATAGGCCAGCCGTACAGGCGGAAACACCAGTCGCCGGCGGACGAGGCGGCCGGTCGGTGAAGACGTAGACGCCCAACAACGGCGGTCATAATAGGCCAGCCGTGCAGGCGGAAACACCAGTCGGCGGCGGACGAGGCGGCCGGTCGGTGAAGACGTAGACGCCCAACAACGGCGGCATAATTGTCACACCCAGAAATTCTCGAACCAGAATTTCTAAGCTGAATGTGCATTAAATCCCTGTCCAGGACCAGCCAGGGTACACAAACGACAATTGTTGACATACAGACCCACGTCTTACAAAAATATAAAAGATTACAAATGCAGCGGGAAAGATAAAAGCGAGCTAAACCGGGAAGCTTGACTTCAACAGCGGGCGACTCCACTCCACAGGCAAACCTTGACGGCAGCGATGAAACCAACCTCTCTGAGACGGCTCCAACTGAGAAGAACTTCAACTCTGGTGTGGGGGAAAAGAGAGCAAGACTGAGTACTACCCACTGTACTTAGCAAGTCATACCGGAAGAGGAGGTATGATGCAGGATATAACCAAAGGAAGCTAGGGGTTCTTTTGCATAAAGCAGGCATTTCAAAGCAGTAGTTGAAAGCAGTAAAATAGCTGTAGTAATTAATCAATATTAACCAATCACTGTCCAACGCTACACCACGTTGCAACAGGCCCAACCAACCACCTGAACTACACCAGTTCATTAAGCTAAACTAGGGGTGAGACTAATCACGGTGAATCTGGTTGATCGCCCATAACCGCGGGCACGGCTATTCGAATAGTTTTACTCTGGCCAGAGGTGTACAACTGTACCCACAAGACACGATTCCACACATGTCGCCATGCCCCGAAGTATCACCATGATACTGCAAAGGGGGAAATCGTGACAAGACCCTCCACATAACCCTCCCCTAACCATCCACACCACGCTAAGGTTTCACCCCCACCCCTCAAAAGGCAGTGGGCGGTCCCCTCTTGCGCCGCGGTGAATCCGGCAGCTGGACAACCGGACACCCCGGCCGACCCAACTCCATCACGCCCACCCTCGCCACCGGTGCCTATGAAAGGGTCGAGCTATACTTCAGATCAAGCAGTTACCCACTCCCGCTTGTGGTAAGCACGGTAAGTCTCCCAGGGTTTCCCGTGAACCGGTCCTTAACTGCCATGGGTGCGACTAGCAAAACCATGCACCCACAACCCACCATTCAGTGTATTTTAATTAACTAACACCATTGCGGTGGCACCAATCTAAAGCTATGCCAATAGACAAAGTCTATGTAATAATGTAGTCCCCATTTGTGTACTAGTTGAACTAAGCATGGCTAAGCATTTCCTAAACCAACATCTAATCATTTTGATACCCAAGTTATCAATGGCATAGGGTAACAAATATGTGGCTGAGGAATAGGACCCATCCCACATTACATTGTAAAAGAATGCAACATTTAATAGAAATGCGGGATATTGGTAAATTGGGTACAATATGATCAAACGTATTGCATGACTTGCCTTGCTCTCGAACTGATGAGACCTCAGCAACGTCTTCGAGAAACTGCGGATCGACGAAACGGCCGAAACCTACGCGACAAACAAAGCACACAAGCAAAACATGCTATAAGTCTACAGAAACAGGAAACAAAACCATTTTTAATGGATTATTTGCATTTTTCTTGATTTACTGAGACTTGAATGGACTTAAACGGAGCTCGGATGAATTACTTATGAATTTTAGAAGATAAACTGTGTTTTTACTAATAAAGAAAAGTCCTTAATCAATTTATTGCGCAATAAAGCCCAGGGCTGACGTCATCCAAGGGGGGGGCGGCGCCGACAGGTGGGGCCCACGGGTCAGCGGCTCAAAGGGGAGAGGAAGGAGGCGCCGGCAAGCGGGGCCCGCATGTCAGCGGCTCAAGGCGGCCGTTCCACGGGACCAAGGGTCCGGATCGGCCCAAGCCGATCGGACGGTGCAGGGAGCAGCCACCGGGCTCGGCCTCGGCTTCAAGCCGGCCGGCAAGCATGGCGAACAGCGGCGGCATGCGGTCGCCGGCGACGGCAACCGGCGGTGTGGGAGGCGGCGGCGGGCGGCGCGAAAAGCGGCGGCAGCGGCCGATGGCGACGGCGCACGCGCGAAGGACGGCGGCGCACACGGGAGAGAGGGAAAAAGGGGAGCGGAGGGGAGCCTCACCGGCGAGCACGGCGACCAAGGCGGAGGATGAAAGGCGGCGGTGACCCGGCGACGAGGAGGGGCGGACGGGCGGAGGCGACACCTATAGGAAAGGAGGAGAGGGATTAGGGGTGGAGAGGACGACCGCAACGACCAAAGTGGCCGGCCGGAGATGGATGAAAAAGGAGAGCTCACCGGCGAGTGAGGGAAACGGGGTTTCGGGGGTGATTGGTGGCAACCAAGCGGCGGCCGAGGAGCGGACGGCACCCGCGAGCGCGACGACGGCGGCTTCACGGCGCGGCAGCGGCTCTAGCGGCGGTGGCGTGCGGCCGGAGACGGCGGTAGGCGGCGGCGCAAGGGGCGAGCGGCGCGGTGACGATAGGAAGCACGGGAGGGCGCGGCGAGTGCGAAAAACGAGAGAGGGGGACGTGGGGAGTGATTTATAGGTGCGGGAGGGGGCGGACGTGGCCGGGGAGGTGGCCGATTTGGCCGGCGATGTGGGGGTGGAGAGAGAGAGAATGGGGGGGATTCAAAATCGAATCCCGCCCCTTGCGAGCGCGCGCGAGGGCCGGGAGATGCGGGGGAGAGGGCGGCGACGTGGGGAGGATGCGGGAGCGGCGGGGCGTGGGCGCGGGAGGAGCGGAGGAGGCAGCGGCGCGGCGGTTTCGGCGGCAGCGGTTGGAGCTTCGGCTCCAGCGGCCGGAGGTGGGAGACGACCGACAGGTGGGGCCCACCTGTCGGCGTCCCGAGAGAGGAGGGAGGGGCGGCTTGGGCCGGCCCACAAGGAGGAGGGGCCGCGGGAGAGGGATGGGCCGACGGCCCAACAAAGAGAAAGGAGGGAAAAGAAAAGAAAAGGAGAAAAAGGATTTTCCTGGGATTTAAAATTGCACTTTGGTGATTTTTAATTGGTTAAAATTATTTCCAAGGCTCTGAAAATCCACTAAAAATCTTGTTAATGCATTGGAGCATGGGGAACTCAAGAAAAATTCCACCACGCTATTTCCGATTATTAATTGCATTTATTAACTAGGGATTCAGCTCTAGGTTAATTAAGATAACTTCTTCGGGCAATTTATTTAACCAATTTTTTTTTAAAGCAAGAAAAGGGGGGGGGAAACTTCAGGGTGTGACAATAATAGGCCAACAGTGCAGGCGGAAACACCAGTCGGCGGCGGACGAGGCGGCCGGTCGGTGAAGACGTAGACGCCCAACAACGGCGGTCATAATAGGCCAGCCGTGCAGGCGGAAACACCAGTCGACGGCGGACGAGGCGGCCGGTCGGTGAAGATGTAGACGCCCAACAACGGCGGCATAATAGGCCAACCGTGCAGGCGGAAACACCAGTCGGCGGCGGACGAGGCGGCCGGTTGGTGAAGACGTAGACGCCCAACAACGGTGGTGTGACCAAACAAACGTATAGGCGAAAACACCAGTCGGCGGCGGACGAGGCGGCCGGTCGGTGAAGACGTAGACGCCCAACAACGGTGGTGTGACCAATCAACCGTATAGGCGAAGACACCAGTCGGCGGCGATGACGGCAAGCCGGTGGTGATGTTCTGACTGATCCATTCCTGGAGCGTAAGAGATAAGCTTAAAGCCATGAATCCCTTTTGTGCATATCTGGATCTGGATCCTGCAGAACAAACATATAGGATGAGTAGTATCTGATATAAATATAATACTCGAGAAAAAATCAAGTATTTAAAAATATTTATAAATATGTATTTCTCCTCTTGTCAATTTTGATTTCCCCGAGCAGATGACTCTGTACGTTTAAACACTCTGTCCGACTAGTCATAGCCCCCAAGCATCGGGAGTCGGCCTAGGCATTTCCCAAACATGCATATGAGTGACATGAGTTCGTCATTAATGGAACAAAGTTTCGCGGATCAGAATTTACTACTCAGGTACTTTTGCAATTATTAAGAGCAGAAAATAAATTTATCTCATCTCTATGCTTTTGATTTATTCCGAATAATACTTAGCACCTTGCGTTACTCGGTCCATCCAACGAGCCCCCGGGTGCTAGGAATCGGCCCAAAGGCAACCATCCATTGGCAAACCAAACGGAAAGCATAGGAAGATAGAGCTCCATAACTCGATAGGTACTTTTGTACTCAGATTATGTCGCAAGCAATCAAGATAAATATTATAAAAAATATGATATAACATCTGTAGCCCCCGACTCACTACTCAATGGAAGACCAATTGGTGTAGTGAGGCAGAGGAAAAGGAAAAATATCATATAAAGAATAAAATAAATGATGACTTAGCTTTGTAATATTCCCCTTGGTGATGGCAGAAGTGGCCAATGTGGGAACAAAGTCGTCCATCAATAACAATGAAGACACCAGTCGGCGGCGACGAAGGCGGTCGACGGTGAAAGCGAAGATGCCCACTAATGGCGGCATAATAGGCCAGCCGTGTAAGCGGAAACACCAGTCGACGGCAACGAAGGTGAGCCAACGGTGAAGATGTAGACATCCAACAACGGCGGCATAATAGGCCAGCCGTGCAGGCGGAAACACCAGTCGGCGAAGGCCAGCCGGTCGGTGAAGACGTGGACGCCCATGAACGGTGGTGTGACCAACCGACCGTATAGGCGGGGACACCAGTCGGCGGCGACGGAGGCAGGCCGGCGGTGTAGATGACGATGCCCATCAACGGTGGTGTGACCAACCAACCGTATAGGCGAGGACACCAGTCGGCGGCGACGGAGGCAGGCCGGTGGTGAAGTCGTAGACGCCCAACAGCGGCGGCATAATAGGCCAGCCGTGCAGGCGGAAACACCAGTCGGCGAAGGCCAGCCGGTCGGTGAAGACGTGGACGCCTATGAACGGTGGTGTGACCAACCGACCGTATAGGCGGGGACACCAGTCGGCGGCGACGGAGGCAGGCCGGCGGTGTAGATGACGATGCCCATCAACGGTGGTGTGACCAACCGACCGTATAGGCGAGGACACCAGTCGGCGGCGACGGAGGCAGGCCGGTGGTGAAGTCGTTGACGCCCAACAGCGGCGGCATAATAGGCCAGCCGTGCAGGCGGAAACACCAGTCGGCGGCGGCGAAGGCCAGCCGGTCGGTGAAGACATGGACGCCCATGAACGGTGGTGTGACCAACCAACCGTATAGGCGAGGACACCAGTCGGCAGCGACGGAGGCAGGCCGGCAGTGTAGATGACGATGCCCATCAATGGTGGTGTGACCAACCGACCGTATAGGCGGGGACACCAGTCGGCGGCGACGGAGGCAGGCCGGTGGTGAAGTCGTAGACGCCCAACAGCGGCGGCTTAATAGGCCAGCCGTGCAGACGGAAACACCAGTCGGCGGTGACGAAGGCCAGCCGGTCGGTGAAGACGTGGTCGCCCATCAACGGTGGTGTGACCAACCAACCGTATAGGCCATCACGTGCAGATGGTCGACGGAGTGCGCGTGTGTGCCACAAACCAATAGGCCTGAGTCCAAACTAGCGACGCTAGCTCCTGATCATCGACCTCCTTTGCATGTGTGATGCTAGCTAATCGATCTAGCAGCCATAGCTCGACGTGTAACATGCAAAACAGACAAATACAGCATGATTAATTAGCACTAGAATATTAGATGTGCAATTGATTAACAGAGTAGGTATGTAAGTTAATTTATTTGCTCCCTCTCCAAGGCTTGCATGCTGCTGTTTGCACATGCAGGTCGAGCATGCCACCGTGCCTGTTCCAGTCGACGGCGTGTCCATCTGCGAAGAAAAAAGCACTCGGACACGGCTTGGCACCAGAATAGGCGACGGCGGCGGCTGGCTCTCGATTTCAGCCGATACGTGAAAATTATGAAAATAACAGAAGGTTAATCTATAATTAGAAATCAATCTAACAAAAATTAGATTGGAACGACCAACCCAGATCAGAGATTTCAGCCACTGGAATCGGTGAGATTGATCTCGGTGTTTCTTCTGAAGTTGAATCCATCGCACTTTTCGTTGGGTAATTCGACGCAACCCCTACCTGGCGCGCCAACTGTCGAAACATGAATTCGGCAATAATAAAACGGGATAGCGCACGAGACCTAAAAGTGGATGGATGCGGAGACAAAGGGTTTAGACAGGTTCAGGCCCTCTCGATGAGAGGTAATACCCTACTCCTGTTTGGGGATTTGAATCCACCGGGTGTAATATAGATCTGACGATCTAGTTGTCTCATGCCCCTAGAGGGGGCTCCCTGCCCGTCTTATATAGGTTGGGGGGCAGGGTTACAAGATAGAAACCTTAACTAATACGGTATCGGTTTCCTAAATCTACTTAACAATCTTATCAAACCAGGACTTTAGGCCGTTTCATAATATACAGAGAAACGTAATACCCAAGTCATGATCTGTTACATATTATATATATATAAGTTATCCCCTATAACTAGTCGGATAACCATGCCGTGTGGGTATGGGGTACCCATAATCTCCACATAAATGTTTGTTGTACTAAACGTGCTGAGTTAGTAGGATCCACGTCTACTCTAATCGTGTGTGTGGCTGGATTTTTGCTAATAAATGTGAATTGTTGATTACTGTGCTGACTGCCACATACTCTGTGATTCAACTATCGTCACAGCTAGGAATCACAATCCAATATTTGTCTCTTCCATCCCAGTCCGTCAAAGATGGCTCTTATCACATCTGCAGTATCATCCGGAAATAATTGGGCCAATCATATATCAGCCAATTTTACCAGTATAACTTAAGCCAATCATATCATTTCAATTCTGGAAGACCTATAATTGGGCACTTGTGCCAATGGGTTGGCATCCACCCCAAATCCAACCGAACCAAAAATGACTGTAGCAAAATTGTCACACTAATCCAGACGGAGAATTCCCTGTGCTAACCCCATCCAAACCAACCCACAAATTAAGTTCCTTAGTTCAAATTCAGCACAATCCACGGGTTGAATCCATATTCCAATCCATACCCGATCCATGGATTATGAAGTGGAGGAGGTCGGCAGGTAGGTAAGTCTGCTAATGGGCTGGATTGAAATGGGCCCAATGGATTGGTTTCATTTTTGGATGTGCTTGGGATGGATGGAATTGGATTGAGGAGTTTAATGGGCTGGACTGGTTTGGGTGGAGGTGGAAACGGTTTGGAGAATTTTTTTCATTTTTTAATTATTTTTTTAATATTTACAGAAATAATCTATCGGCGCAAAAAATTACAAAAATAGACCCTGCCACCCTAGTGGAGGGCGCAGCCCTCTAGAGCATTTGGCTGGTACTTTTTGCATCTGGCCCCAGATGCAAAAAGTATCAGCCAATTGATTTTTCTCTGTTATGTTAATAATAATTAAAGAATTATTG